TGTTGCATGTTTAAGAAAGGGTGGTACTTAAATGCAAAACCTAATGTTTATTCAGTACAATGGGTGAGAATTTGTGCACACAAAAGCTCTGCAATTCAGCCTGATAGGTCTCAAGACCATGGGATTCTGTCCCATATGAGAGCTCCATGAGAGCAGGGACTGCTTTTCCTGGTCACCAGCGATCCCGAGCCCTAGAAGTGCCAGAAAGATAGTCAGCACTCAGTGAATTTGTTGAACGAAGGAGTGGATGGATGCAGTACTTAGAATGATGGTGAAACTGAGAATGAGGCAGTGTGATATAACAGTGAGTATGGAAGGAGCCTGATGGAGCCCTGGGAGCCTGTATTTGAATTCTTTGAGGCTCCTAAGAATGGTCCAGCCATCTCGTTTTTATCCGGGAATTGTGCACAGGACATCATGGGGTGGAAGGGTTTCCTGAAATAATTACAGAGGTATCTTTTTCTAAGCATAAAACATACATGCATTTCACATTTATCAGATACGTTTCCTCTTTATCCACTGTTTTCCATTTTTGACTGAGGACACAAGTAATGTGAATGGGCTTAAATTTTAGGAGCAGATCAGAAAGGATTTTTAAATTTATTTATAACTCTGCAAGTCATTAAATAAGCAAGTTACCGAGTCTTATTAGAAATAAGCCGCATGCCCACTAATCCAGTTTCAGCACCCAGGAACGCATCACATGGCACCTCAGCATTCCATCAGACCTTGGTTCTGGAGCTCTTGGCATTTTGTGCTTCCCAGGGTGCAAAGTGAAGTGGGGAAAAACTAAGATCTGTTTCTGCCTGCAGAACACTTGTGACCTAAAATGTAGGGGGTTAGAGGTTGGTTCCTCACACCAACAATCAGTTCTCCAAGTCTCTGGACACCTGCTGGATGTCCTACAATTCAGCTCAACTCTAACACTAACCACCTGGAGTTACTGCAGACCCCATCGGTTAAGGGCTCAGTCCCATAAGACTGCCCCCATTTCACATGCCAATCACAAGTCCAGGTTGTCACCTGTACTTCTTTTTTTTTTTTTTTTTTTTTTTTAAAGATTTTATTTATTTATTTTTCCCCCAAGGCCCCAGTAGATAGTTGTATGTCGTAGTTGCACATCCATTCTAGTTGCTGTATGTGGGACGCGGCCTCAGCATGGCCGGAGAAGCGGTGTGTCGGTGCTCGCCCGGGATCCGAACCCGGGCCGCCAGCAGCGGAGCACGCGCACTTAACCGCTAAGCCACGGGGCCGACCCTCTTTTTTTTTTTTTTTTTTTTTTTTTTAATTTTATTTATTTATTTTTTTTTCCCCCAAAGCCCCAGTGGATAGTTGTATGTCATAGCTGCACATCCTTCTAGTTGCTGTATGTGGGACGCGGCCTCAGCATGGCTGGAGAAGCGGTGCCATGGGTGCGCGCGCAGGATCCGAACCCAGGCTGCCAGCAGCAGAGCGCATGCACTTAACCACTAAGCCACGGGGCCGGCCCTGTCACCTGTACTTCTAACCAACTGGCTGTAAATTGGGGGTTCTCACGACCCCCTCCTCAGGTTCAACAATTTTGCTATAACAGCTTACAGAACTCAGGAAAGCACTTTACTTACACTTACCAGTTTACTGTAAAGCATATTATAAAGGATAGAGATGAACAACCAGATGAAGAGGTACATAGGGTGAAGTCTGAAAAGATCCTGAGGGAAGGAGCTTCTGTCCCTGTGAACTTAGGGTGCATCACCCCCAGCACATGGATGCATTCACCAACCTGGAAGCTCTCTGAACCCTGTAGTTTAGAGGTTTTTATGGAGGTCTCATTATGTGGGCATGATTGATTAAATCATTGGCCATTGGTGATTAACTTAATCTCTAGCCCCTCTCCCGCCAGAGGTTGGGGAGTGGGGCTGAAAGTTTCAACCCTCCAATCCAGCCCCCATCCTGAAGCTATCTAGGGGCCCACCAAGAGTAACCTCATTAACATAAACTCAAGTATGGTCAAAGAAGCTTGTGATGAATAACACAAGATGTTCCTATCACTCAGGAAATTCCAAAGGTTTTAGGGGCTCTGTACCAGGAGCCAGTACTGGAGACAAAGACCAAATATATATTTCTTATTGTATCACAATATCATAGAGAACCTTTCAGTTTAATAATTAAGTGTGTCTTCCAGTAGGACATGACTTTCAAAGACCATTGAGAGAGGGGAATGCCCAGCAGGCTGCTCTCTTCTGAGGACACGAGCTCCTAGAGACCTTCATGACCAGCGTGATTCCCGTCTCATCAAGCTGTCCCTACATTCTGGGCCCCTAACTGTGGGGCCTCTGTTCTTTCTTACTCAGCTGGATTCAGAGTACTTCACAGTATAGTCTCACAACTCAGAAGTCTTACAAAGAGCAAATCAGTGTTTTAAAAGATACATTTTTACTTAATTAGAAAATGTAGGGGAGGAAGACAGTTCCTCTACCCACTCTAGGTCCTTCTGGCTGGGCAACGAATTAACTTGATAGACAGAATAACAGGAGAAAATCAAACAAAGCTTTATAACATTTGAATTCTACGAGGCTCCTAAGAATGGTCCAGCCATACCATGGGGTTTTTTATTGGGGGATTGTGAAGAGGACATCATGGGGTGGAAGGGTCTCCTGAAATAATTACAGAGCTATCTTGGGAGTAACCCAGGGAAACTGGGTAACTCAGCCAGAATGACCAAAGCTGTCACCTTAAATAGCATCTTCAGCTAAAGACAAAGGAGGATGTTGGGGGTGGGAGACGTCAGTTATGGGAGATTACCAGAAAAGGACAGTAAACATGAGTAAGGTTGTTATGCAGATTTGTCCTTGCCTTCTGCATTGATAAGAGTTTCTAGAGATAAGGGTCATCCCCTCCCCCCCTTCCTGGGGCAGAGAGGGAGACATCTTTACAAATGGAGATTTCCCTTACAAATGTAAATGTCTTTTTTTTTTTAACTAATTTATTTTTGTGTGTGTGAGGAAGATCGGCCCTGAGCTAACATCTGCCAATCCTCCGTTTTTTGCCAAGGAAGACCGGCCCTGGGCCAACATCCATGCCCATCCTCCTCCACTTTATATGGGACGCCGCCACAGCATGGCCTGCCAAGCGGTGCGTCTGTGCACGCCTGGGATCCGAACCTGCGAACCCCGGGCCGCCCGCCGCAGCGGAGCACGCACACTTAACCACTTGTGCCACCGGGCTGGCCCCGTAAATGTCTCTTACAAAGGGGAACTTCTATTTCCACTTGGTTTTCAGAGCTTTTCCCATGTCTGCAGTTTTTAAAAGTAACCAGCCCAAAATAATCCTTATGCCAAAGAGACACATTTTGGGGTGGCCAATTCTGATCCCCTACACACACATACAAATCATAAGGGAGCAGATCAATAAATTATCAAAAAATAAAGAAATTTAGCTACCACACAGGTCAAGAAGTAGAACATTGCCAGTATCTCAAAAGCCCTTCTCATCCACAGACTCAATCATCCCGCCTTCTCTCCTCCCCACGTGTAACCACCATCCTGACTTTTAACATGGTAGATTAGTTTTGCCTATTTTTGAACTTTAGAATCTGTATAAATAGAATCACACAGAATGTGCTCTTTTGTGCCTGGCTTCTGTTGCTGAACATTATGGCTGCAAGAGTCATCCATGTTGTTGTGGGAAGCCGTGGCTGGTTCATTTTCATTGATGTACAGATTTTCTTTGTATGAATATATCACAGTTGTATCAGTTCTGCAGTTAATGGACATTTGAATTGTTTCCAGTTTTTGGTTATGATAAACATTTTTGTGCATGACATTTGGTGCTCATGTGCACACATTACTGTTGAGTATATATTTAGGAGTGCAATTGCTATGCCATGGAGCATGCAAATTTTCGATTTTAGTAGCAATACTAAACAGGCAGTTTTCTGTAGTGGTTGTTCCAGTTCACACTCCCACCAACAGGGCTGCACATCTTTGTTAACACTGGATATTGGCAGTCTGTTTAATTCTAGCCATTCTGGTGCTATGTAATGATGTCTCATTATCACTATAATTAGCATTTCTCTATGACTAATGAGGTTGAACATCTTTACTTGTGTTTAAATGACTCTTTAGATATCTTTTTTGTGATGTGCTGATTCAAGTTTCTCGCCAACTTTTCTATGGTTTGTCTGCTTATTTATTATTCATTTGTAGGACTTCTTTATAAATTCTGGATACGAACCCTTTGGAAGTTATATGTATTGCAAATATCTTCAACTCTGTGGCTTGCATTTGAACTGTCTTCATGGTGGTGTTTGATGAACAGAAGTTCTTAAAGTTCATGTAATCCCATTATCTATCCTTGTGCCAATACCACAGTCTTAAAAGTACTCCAGTTTTATAGTAAATTTTGAAATCTTGTCATGTATGTACTCCAGCTTTTTTCTACTTTCTCAAGATTGCCTTGTCTATTCTTGGCCCTTTGCATTTCCATAAATTTTAGCATCAGCTTGTCAATGTCTGAGATTTTTATTAGGATTGTATTAAATCTGTATAGATCGATTTGGACAGAACTGACAACTTGACAATTTTGAGCCTTCCATTACATGAACATGGTATATCCCTTCATTTATTTAGGTCGTCTTTAATTTTGCTCAGCAATATTTTGTACCATTCCATGTAGAAATCTTGCACGTCTTTTGTTAGATTTATTCCTAGTGTTTGATTTTTTTTTTTAATGCTATGGCAAATAGCATCTTTTTAAATTTTTGTTTTCTATTTATTGTTGATGTATAGAAATACAGTTGATGTTTTATATTGACTGTAGACCTAGTGTCTTTGATAAACTCACATATTAAGTGTAACCATTTATGTGTAGATTCTTTGGGTTTATCTGTGATACAGTCATATCATCTGTGAATGACAGTTTTATTTCATCTGTTCCAGCCCTTTTTATTTCCCTTTCTTATGTTCTACACTGGCTCTGTGACGTTGGACCTAATGAGGTTTTTCCCTCTTTCCTTCCAGATGAGGCTGAGGCACATATCGACTATGAAGATAATTTCCCTGATGACAGATCCGTGTCATTCAGAGAGCTCATGGAGGATTCCCGGACAGAGGCAGAGGAGGACAGGGGTCAGGGAGAGGCCTCTGAGGAAGCTCCAAAACAGCACCATCTGGTATCCATTTCTGTGAGAAGAGGAAACATAGCCCAAGATACAGCCTTTGTGCCATCTACAGGCTTGCCCGGTGCTGGGAGCAGTGTCCCCACAGACCTGCCAGGATCCCAACTAAACCAGAAGTACTTGTTCTGGTTTCCTGCTGAGACCCTCCACAAGCCTGAATTGGGAAAGGAGATGGATGATGACACCAAAAAGCAGTTTCCTGCTGGAGAAAACTACAGTGGCATAACATTGGCTCCAGGTGAACCTGAACCCAAGGTGATCTATAGCAGCACTGATGGTCCCTCAGTGCCATATGTGGGCATAAATGACAGCAAGGCAGGGGACCCAATGGTGAGCAGCAGCGATGGGTCCTGGTTAGATGGCTACCCTGTGACTGATGGGGCTTGGAGGAAGATAGAAGCAGAAGAGGCAGAAGAGGAGGAAGATGGGGACAAGGGGGATGGGTCAGTAGGACTGGAAGAAAGTATTCTAGTTACTCCCAGTCAGCCCATTCTTGTGGAGGTTAAGAAGCCCAGTAGTACCACCCCCATACCAAGTGAGGACATGACCCATAGTTCAGTTCTTCCATCTCAGACACTAGATGTAGAAGCTTTAGCTCTCAGACCGATGAATGTGTCTGAAACTGAGGGTCCCAGCAAGGGGGATGGTGACTTGACCACTAAGTACCAGTCAACTATTCCTTGGAGATTTGCCACAGAGAAGTCTCCCATAGTCACCCTACCTTATGAACTCACCAGCTCTACCCTGGAGACAGTAACAATTGCTGTCCAGAAGATGCCTAACCACATTCCCTCAACTATCATGGCGGCCACCCAGACTCCAACGGAAACCACTGCTCCTGAGGTCCAGGATAGCTTCCCATACCTGCTGTCTGAGGACTTCTTGGGACAGGAAGGCCCTGGCCCAGGTGCAACTGAGGAGCTTCTTCCAACCTTGGAGCCGTGTGTAGGGGACAAGTGTCCCAGCCTCAGCAGAGGCCCCATCATTGCCACCGTCGTCACTGTCCTGTGCCTGTTGCTGCTCCTGGCAGGTGTAGGAGCAGTGTGGGGCTACCGCAAGTGCCAGCACAAGAGCTCTGTATACAAGCTGAACGTTGGCCAGCGGCAGGCTCGGCACTACCACCAGCAGATTGAGATGGAGAAAGTCTAGCCACCTTTGGAGCGGGCTCTCCTAAAGCCGCTTGGGAGGAAAATAAACTGTGACACATCACATTGATAAACACTGATAATTCACTAGAGCATGAAACAGGTGGGGTAGGGCTCATCTTTTTTTCTCAGGTCTTTGTTTTCTAGGCTGAGAAGTGTCTCTGGAGGCACCTGGCAGGGCAGGAAGGCTTTGGTGGCATCATTACACATGTTAATATCTCCTCAACCATCTGCCCTGGAATGTATTGCACTAATCCCAGACCTGGGGTTGGCCCTTAATTCCAACATCAGGTCAAAACTCACCTCTTGCTTCATCATACTATTGTCTTCTTTTCCTTTTTTAAGACAAAAAATTACTGACTCCATGACCTGAAATTTTTGAAATAGGCTTGATAAACGGAGCATTTGAGACCAGTGTTATTTAGGATACAGATATTTAATTGTTGGGAGTGGGATATAGTAGAATAATGGGTTATTTCCTTTTAATGTTGTGATGTTGTTAAGGGCAAATGAGCTAAGAACCAGGACGTAGTCTAGAAGCTTTGAGATTTCTGTTTAATTGTTTGTTGAAATTGGAGAGCATTTAAGACTGACATTTTGTTGGAGGGAAAGGGAGGAGGGGCAGACACACATCCACCTCTGTTCCCTCCGTTCTGTGGGATAGCCCATCATTTTTTTAAAAACAAGGTTAGCTTTGTACTGGTAAGTACCGTTTCCTCACGGAAGCAGTGGCCTAGTTGTCCTTGACCAAGTCTGTGCCTAGGAATGTCTTAGAATTTTTGCCAGGACTAACAAAACTCAGTCTTTGGTTTCCTCTCTCAGGATTAACCATTTCTCTGAACTCTAGTAAGAGGGAATGACATGGGAGGAAAAAAATGTTTTAAGAGGGCCAAGGACTAGGGTATCTATGGGTACCTACTTGATACAGAAGAAGCAGATTAATTAAAAAGGAATATGAAACCTGTGCCGATCTATTCTTTACTCTATTTTGGCAATTGTGAGCTCTATGGAAACAGCATGAGTCCAGAATGGACTGATCCTGGCTACTGAGCAACCCTTTCATGGTATCTAGATCATCTCAAAGTGGCTCAGCAAAGATTGTTTACAACAATGGTTCTCAAAGTGTGGTCCTCAGACCAGTGGCTTCACCATCACCTGGGAACTTGCTGGAGCTGCAAATTCTCTGGTTCCACCCCAGTCTTACGAAGCTTAAACCCTGGGAGGGGGGTCCAGCTATCCGTGTTTTAACGAGCCCTCCAGGTGTTTCTGATGCACACTCAGGTTTGAGAACCATTGGTTTATGATAACATACATTTTGATCTTTGAGGCCAGCTGAAGCTCTAGTGGCACAGAAGATGAGTAATACCCATGGCTTGTCTTGCATGGAAGTCAGGCATCGCTATGTGTACCTGAGGCACCCCTTGAAGCTGCCTAAATACCATCTCCAATGGTCTCCTATGTAATGGCACAGAAATAAAACACATTATATTTTTCTAATATGAATCAGCTTCTTAAAAATAGTTTTCAGTGGTAAAAAGTGATTGAAGGCAGTATATTTATTTTAAGACACTGTAAGAGTCTAAGTGTTTTTGTGTAGCATGAAAGAAATCCTGAACTTTTTTACAATGGAAAAATTGTTGGTGGTGTTTTACCTAAAGAAAAAAAGAATTCTCGCAACATGTTTCTACCCTGCCATCTCTTTTTGGTACAACCTTTGGAAAAATAATAGGCTAAGTAGCTATAAAGTCAGTAGAGCAAAATCAAAGACCTTAGTCCCCATTACTTGGTAAAATGAAGGCCTGAAGGTACCAAATGGAATACCTATGTGTCAGATGAAATCTAGAACAATAGGAATGAAATGCTTTCTGCATGTAGCCAAAGCAAAACACAAAGAATAAAAGCCAGAGACTGTATATATTTATAAATTAGATTCTTTTCTAATCTATTACAAGATAACTTTTCTATTTTTAACTATATAAAATAACCTCCGTCTCAACGTTGGGTTTGTGTTATCAATTATTATTATGTAATAACCCAAGAACATTGACTTAATACCAACACAAAAATAGGTACTATTAATACAAATGTATTAATTTATTACAAATATATTAATACATATAAATGTATTATTTTGTAGACATGACCTGCAAAATAAACCGAACACATCAGTTTTTAAATTTTATTGATTTGGTGTAATCTAAATTTAAAAGGCATGTAGAAAAGGAATGATTAAAACACTGTAAACCTAAATTGTATGTCATTAGGCATGCTTTGAGACTGGAAAATGTTTAATATTCATGAAAATTGGGTGGGGGGATCCATTAACACAAAGCTTCTGAGATATTTAAAATAAATAATTATTTCCCCAAATAGTTGCTTAATGTATTTTATATCTGGGTTACATCACAATGGGTTTTTTTAAAAAAAGGATTCTCTAGTAATCTTGAAAATAGTGTCTTAATACTATATCTAAGACTGCCCTTTCTAAGCCTGACTCTCAGCCATGTTACCTCCTGCAGCCTGATTTCAGGGAAGCTCCTGCTTCCTCCTCCCTCCATCCCTCTTCCTCACTCCAACCAGAGACCATGCACTTCACCCCAACAACATGCCCAGGACCTTGCTACTCAAGGTGTGGTTCCTGAGCCAGCAGCACAGGCACCACCTGGGCTTGTTAGAAATGCAGAATCTCAGACCCCACCCCAGACTTGCTGACTCAGACTCTGCATTTAACAAAATGCTCAGGGGATAGGTACGAATGGTGAAGTTTGAGAAGCACTGGCCTAAGAGACCAGAACTGATTACCTCCCTCTCCTAACTGATGGGAAAATCAAAGGAATAATTAAAGAGGGTTAGATGTAGGGACTAGTCATAAAAGCGTGGGTAGGGTTAAGAGAACCACCAAGGCATGGTGGAGGGCTGTTTGGAACTGGATGAGAGTTTCAGCAATAGGGAAGGCACTGCAGGACAGGAACTCCAGCCTCAAGGAGACCACAGCCACTGTCCAGCTGTGGCCTGGAGGAGGCAGGGATTTTAAAGAGCTAGACCTCTTCTCTCACCTTGCAGTTTCTTGCCAGCACATCCCAAGGGTAACCGGAAGTCAGAGGTGAGGGAGTCCAGGCAATGTCGACCATAGGGGTCAGGCTCTGGGGCCCAGGGCAGAATAGAAAAGAGATCTGGAGGGGCAAATGGAGAACTCCAACTCGGAGACCATCAGCACCAACACCATCTGCCTTCTGTCCCTTTTTACCTCTGTGAACACCAGGCATGACTCCTCTCAAGCCACCCAATGTTGTAGACACTGTTGGTGCCCACCCAGGTCAGCTTCACTGGGCAAGTGAACCCATCCTCCAGCTGCCCTGTTGGCTGCTAAAATGCTCATTAATGCGTAACTGTACCTTTCTCACCCAGATTGCCCTTGGCCTAATGGCAGTTCCGTCACTCAGGAGTTAGGCCCACCATCTATGCCCCTAGGGCAGCTTGTAGCCAATGACTGACCCACATGGGCATACAAAAGGCCAGCCTTCTTGCCTCAAGGTGGGGACAACTTCGTGGTGTAATTCATGCTCCAGAGTTCCCATGGGATCAGGCTGAGGCTGGTCTACCCTTGTTGGTTCCTTCCTGCTTCCCTCAGAGCCCTTCTCCTGAGAGTACTCCATCCCTTGCACGAGGCTCTGCTTCAAGGGATCCAGACCTAAGACGTCCATCAATGTGCAAACTCTTATTCCCTACACTGCCACTCCTCCTCAATCCAAACTTTACCACCATATCCTCTGGAATTCTTGGGCAGACATCAACAAAATCCCTATGTCCTCCGCCTCTTCTTCAAACAGCTAATGTTTGAACTCTCCATACCATGGATCTCTGTTTTGCACTGGCTAGCTCCTCACTCTTTCCACCTGCCTCCTTCTACTCTTTTCTCTTTCTCCTCGCTTGCCCTTTAGTGACATGCATGGAGCACAGTAGCTGTTGGCAGTCATGCCCGAAGTTGATTTTCATCCTTGTTTGAAACAATAAATATTCTGCCACTTCTCAGACGTTGGCAGCAACGGACCAGCTCATCAGATCCAAAGCAAGCCCTGGATTCCAAATGTTTTTCTTAGTGGGATCCCAAATCTCTGAAAGACAAACTTCCTGGGGAGAGGACGGAGCCTCTATCTTCTGAAAAGCCCTTGGCGCGCTCATGGCTAGCAAGGACCACCCCTGCCACAGGAGATCCGAGAGTCTTTGGGGTAAGGGTTCTGCTTTGCTAGATGAATGTCAGAAATCTCACTGACCTGAGAAAATAGAGCTCATTACATGTGTCCTAGAATGACTGGGTGTGGTTAAGACAGTCCCATCCAGTGGATAGAGAAAGAAAACAGTAAAGAATAAGCAAAATAAGACATTTAATGTGATTTTTTAAAAAATCTTTGTTTTCAGGGCTGGCCCTGTGGTGTAGTGGTTAAGTTTGGTGTGTTCCATTTCAGTGGCCTGGGTTTGCGGGTTTGGATCCTGGGCACGGACCTATACCACTTGTCAGCCACGTTGTGGTGGCGACCCACATATAAAGTAGAGGAAGATTGGCATAGACGTTAGCTCAGGGCTAATCTGCCTCAGAAAAAAAATAAATAAAAAATTTTTGTTTTCAATCATTTTCCAAGTTCTAATTTCCCACAAGAGTGAGATTGTACACACTGCCCTAACCCAGGGAGGGGAGGGGGAAAAGACACCATCTTTTCTTTTCAATCTTATATTTTCAATCTCATATCTGTTGCCCAAATTGCTTAATTCCTTCCCATTCTTTTCTTGTAAAATGAGGCACCAGTATCTTACCCTATCAACCCCAAGAGAATAGTGAGCCAACTCACTCATTCATTCAACAAGCCACTGAAGCCAGATATTTGGGGGGTGGGGGACAGTGTTAGGTGCTGGATACGGCGGCTCGTGTGCCTGCCCTAGAGAGAGAAGCACTCTACTATGGTACAAACCACAGCCACTCCTGACTCTGATTTCGGGGGTAGGAGTGGGTCAGTCAAGGTTGTCATGGTGTCTTCCCACTCGGGGAGATGCCACGGGGACGGGGTGGGGAACAGCCTTGCCCCGGCTGCAGGCACAGGAAGTCCAATGTACCAAACCTTTGGCTGAGGCTTATTTACGGTTCCTTTCCCTCTTTCCCCCCTCGTACATAGTTTAAACTCTCTACACTAGGTCATTCAGGCCTGGAGTCACCAGAAAAAAGAAGTCGCTGTTCGGGGGATGGCAGATGCTCAAGAGTTCAGACAGCTGCGATGAAGGATTAGTTGTGGGTTTTTCTCGGTGCCTCGCTACAAACTGTGTTGCAGCTCCATGTGCAAACACTATTAGATGAGAATGTTTTCTCTGGCACCAATCCACCTTCTCCCCACAGTTTAAGTATTGAATTTTTAAAAAACTGAAGTAGCTTAGGTTTACGGCTCACATTTAAAACTTAAAAACGTTATTTCCATAAATGTTGGCAGAAACCCGCCACTGTTTATTCCACAAGCAGTCATAATAAACCCTTTCCCATTGACAATCTAACAAATCATTTTCTGTTTGCCACTGAGTTTGGTTCAATAAAATTTTTGTGCTCTTAAAATCCTCTCGGTAAGAACTCCTAAAAGCAACATTTCCTAAGGCGGCCTTTGTGGTCAGCGTACCCAGTGGTTCTCCTGGATCACAGAAGTGAACACAACAGGTTAGGGGCAGGAATTAGAAAGTCTCAAAACTCAGAAAGACATTAGCATGTTGAATATGTTGGTATGTGTGACATTTCAGTCAATTAGTCACTTTTAAACCTACGTGTATGTACAACCACCGCCCCCTCCCCGTGGTGGGCAGCCTCCCTGGGTGGACCAGCCTGAGGGAAGCAGAGCAGCCGTTGGGCTCCATGCAAGTGGGTCAGAGGGCAAGTGAGGCATCTTAGGCTGGTTTTGGCAACTCCCACAAAGCTTACAAATGTGTTTGTCTTTTCAAAAGACAGGCCAGGCTGATGCTGAGCCCATGAGATCTCAATACAGGAATCTTCTAGGCTCCTCTAAGAAACATCCTCAGGAAGATGCTGGGTTGAGGCTGTTGAGTGCAGCCTGAACACTGGGGTTGCAGGGTAGGTTTGGAGGAATTGCCCCCTCCCGTTTTTATTTAAGATTGGTTTCCTTTGAAATAAAAAATTTAGTAACTCGGTTCCACAGCCTTCAATCAAAGCAAAGTGCTGACAGTGTTGATCATACTGTCCCCAGAGTTTCTTCCTCAGGGGACATTGCTTTTCAATCCCCAGTGAAAAGAGGCCAACTTCAGAGAGTGAATGAGGACGCCCACCACCACACCCAACCCTGTGTGGAACATTATCCACAAAAAGCTGGCCCCAGGCTCAGAGGAAGAGGACCAAATGGAAGCTCTGCAGGGCGCACAGCAGTGGAGGGAGTCAGACGCCCCACCCAGCCTGGTCCCTGTGGTGGTCTCCTTGCATTTTCTCGACCAGCTGGGAAGGACAACTGCTGCCAGGAGCTATAAGGAGAGGTAGCTGGTGGGTGCACTACCTCCACTGACCCAGGAATCCTAGGGCAGGGCGTCCACTCACTGGGTCCCCCTTTATTTTATAGTCCTGACTTCAAAAGAAAGTTTCTCTAGTGGATGGAGTAGACGGTGGGGTGAGGGAAGAAAGGAGAACCCAGCACTCCATGGGCAGAAGCCCTATAGGATCTCACTCCTCGCTGGGCTGAGGGTGCTCTGATTGGGAAGCTGCTGTGCCCCAAGTGCAGCCACCAATAACGCCAATAACACTGACTCCTTTGACTACACAGCCCCCTGAGAATGCAGACTCTGTTGAGGTGGGCAAATTCAGTCAAAGCCATAGGAGTAGGTTATTGTCTTGAGTTGGGTACCCTAGAAGGAGAACCTGACATGAGAATTCTTATGCAGATAAAAGAGGAAGTGCTCTCAAGAGAAAGGGGATGAGGGAAGCAGGATGGCGCAGGAGAAATTGCATACATCTGAGTTCCCAGAGGTTGGAATAGTGAGATGGGGGAAAAAGCAAGCCTGAAAAAGCAAAAATATGTGCGTTTTCCACCCCCAATTAATCACCATTACACTAAAGACGCAAAATTCTATCTCCTTTCATTCCTTTCCATGCCATTGTGGGAAAAGTCCTATCTCCCAAATGCTGTGCCAGTTTCCTCCTGCCTCCAGACCTGGAGGGTCCCAACTAGACTAACTGCCTTATTGGAGGAGGTAATAAGGTTGAATAAATAAAGCTCAGATTCCAGAACACCACATCCGCCTGGTTTTCTCCCACCTCATAGGTGGCTCCTTCTCAGGCTCTTTGGTGGGTTTCTCATTTCCCAGAGAGCCCCAGGGCTCTGTCCTTGGCCCTTTTCTCTTGCTTCTCAATATATACATACAACCTAGGGGACCCCATCCAGCCTCACGGCTTTAAATACCATTTACATGCTGATGATTCATTAGAGGGCACTGTGGAGCTCTGCCCAGACCCCCTTCACAGAGCCAGTACCCACATCCCCGCCCCCACCCCCTCACGGTGCCTGTTGGCTGCCAGTGGTCTAGTCACTTTTCCGGAGAATTGCCCTCGGCTGACCAAGCTATTTGCCTTCAAAGGTACAAATTTTATTTGCAGCCTGAACCTCCCATCCCAACCTCAGACAGCTTGCTTTGCACCAAATTACTTACTTACTTGCCCCCCACTCCCCACCATCTTCCCCATTTCAGTAAATAACAATTCCATCCTTCTGGTTGTTCAGGCCAAAAACCTAGAGGTCACTGTTAGCCCATCTCTGTCTCTTACACTCCACATCCAATCTGTCAGCAAGTCCTATTGGCCCTGCTTTCAAAATAAATCTACAATCTGACCAATTCTCACCATCTCCATTGCTACTGCCTAGGTCCGAGCCAGACTTCCCCTTGCCTGGAATTTTGCAGGAGCCTCCTAACTGGTTTTCCTGCTTCTACCCTTGCTCACTTTCAGGTTTCTCACAAGATGGCCGCTAGAGAGATCCTTGTAAAATGTCAGTCAGTCAAGGCACTCCTCCACTCAAGCCTTCCAGTGGCTCCCATCTCACTCAGAGTAGAAGCCAAAGGCCTTACACTGGCCTCCAAGGCCCTAAGCCATCTGTCCTCTCCCTCACCCCATATATATCTCTCTAGCCTCATCTCCTTCCCTTCTTCCCTTTGCCCACTCCTCTCCTTGGCCTCTGTGCTATTCCCTGACCACAGCAAGCATGTTTCACTGTAGGGCACTGCCCATGCTGTTCCCTCTGCCTGAAATGCTTTTCCTTGAGACCTGCTTCCCTAAGGTTTCTGCTCTGCTGTCACCTTCTCGGTGAGGCCTTCCCTGAGCCCCCTATTTAAATCTGCAGCCTCATCTCCAGGCTTCCTTACTCCCTTCTCTGCTTTATTTTTCTCCACAGCAATTATCACCCTTGATACCTTGTATATATTTATTCTTGTTTATTTGTTGTCTGTCTTTTCCTGTAGAATGTAGGCTCCATGAGGGCAGGGATTTTTTTCCTGTTATTCTGTGCAGTATCTCCAGTGCCCAGGTCAATGCCTAGCATGTAATAGGTGCTCAATAAACATTTATTAAAAGGATGAATGAAAGTAGACTCCCTCTGCTTTCTTCCATTTCCAACTCTGAGACTTATAACTGAGCATTGTCCTCAAATGGGATGGACGAAAGATTATAAGACTTTTGAGATGCAAAAGTGTTGGGCAAACGCCACATTTCTGTACTCTACACTGTCTACCCAACTTATTTTTCAGTGGGTGCCAGAAATAGTGCAGGTCAGACCAGGTGTAGACCATCATGGGGTGTGGAGAAGTTTAGCCTTTGTCCTCACCATCTTTGCTGGATCAGGGGATGGGGAGAAAGGAGACTAAAATCTGGAAGAGCAGAAAGGCCACAGTAGGTTTTTAAAATTATCATCTTTTAGGAGTATTTTTCTTATTTAAAAAATATCACTGACTTTCTGGAAAAAAAACAAACCATGGAAAACTGTCCTTCCAACCAAAATGGTGAGAAAGACATGTATAAACATGGAGAAGGTAGGTGTGAAGATGGAGAAGGCAAGTGTGGACACAGGGAAGGCAGGTGTGAAGATGGGGAGGCAGGTATGAAGATGGGGAGGCAGATGTGGACACAGAGAAGGCAGGTGTGAAGATGGGGAGGCAGACGTGGACACTTGGAAGGCAGGTGTGAAGATGGGGAGGCAGTTGTAAAGATGGGGAGGGCAGGTGTGGACAGAGGGAAGCCTAGGTGTGTGGTCATGGGGAAGGCAGGTGTGAAGATGGAGAGGCAGGTGTGGTCATGGGAAAGGCAGGTGTGGTCATGGGAAAGGCAGGTGTGGTCATGGGAAAGGCAGGTGTGAAGATGGGGAAGCAGATGTGGTCGTGGGGAAGGCAGCCTCACCCCTTGTTATATGTAGTGAGAGACGGGGGCTTCCCTTTCACTTCACAGAGTAAAGAGAAGGCTTTGAGGTATCAACAACTTGGGCTTTTGGAAAAAGGAAGTCAAAGAATCTGTATTTCCTGAACATCGAGGGGAAGTTTCTTTGGCTCCCATGGACTAGCCGGTCTCCTCCAGCTCCAAGAGATCATCCACATATTCCACAACCTCTCCCTGTAAGAGACAACAGGATACCTCTGTTAAGTGGGCTACCTGACCTTAAAAGTGCTGTTGAGCAGAGACTGTTTCCAGGAGGCGACTGCCAGCTGCCTGCTCGGGCTAGAGCAGCCTTTCTCTCCTGCCCTTGGGCCCAGAAGACCTGACTTCTCCCTGGGAGGGGACCTGGCTTCTACTCCATGTGAACTTGGAGTCAAATGCTCTGTGACCCTCACAGATGGCCTGTATGAAGTGGGCAGTCCAGCTACCTTGAAAGACCCTGTTTAGTGCCCCCCTCTTCTGTGCATCCCTCGCCACACCCCTACTCCCCCTCCCATTAGCAGTTATCCCACAGGAACACTTTCTACCTGTTCCCTTTCTGCCTTGACCACTAGATCACCAGGACCTGGGCTATTTTTCAAAAACCAGGACCTGGATTATTTTTCTTCCTGAGAGCCTGGCACACAGAAGGTGCTCAGCGAACCTGCTCAAGGATGAATGAGTGTGGGCCGGCCCTGTGGCTTGGTGGTTAAGTGCGCGCGCTGCAATGCTGGCGGCCCGGGTTCGGATCCCGGGTGCGCATCGAGGCACCACTTCTCCGTCCATCCTGAGGCCGAGTCCCACATACAGCAACTAGAAGGATGTGTAGCTATGACATGCAACTATCTGCTGGGGCTTTGGGGGGAAAAAATAAAATAAATAAAATCTTTAAAAAAAAAAAAAAGGATGAATGAGTGAGTGTATGCATGCATATTGCTGGTGTGACTAAACCAGTCACTTCAATTAAAGAAGAGACTTAGGTACTGTGGGACCCAGAGTTACTGTTTCCTGCTGTGTGACTGCTATGACATGAAGAAGATGGTATTGTTTGCTTTTAGCTCACTAATAAGTGCCCAAGGCAATACCAATGAAAGAAACACATCCTCCTATATGGTCTGTTGTAGTGGAGGCTGTTGGTGCCTCACTCAGATCTACTTTCCAGTACACCCATCCCCCAGGTGTTGAGAGTGTTGGTTGCTAATGGCTGATAGCTGCTCCTTCCCTGGACAAGTGATCTTGGCCAAAAGTAGCAGCCCCACCAAGAAGTTTATACACCAACCCCTCCAGGCTGCCAACAACCAATGAGAGATTGATAAGGAGGACTACAAAAGGCATGATCTGTGGTATAATCATGCTCCAGAACTCACCATGGGATCAGACTAAGCTTGATTCCAGCCAAGACCACATATTTGCATAGCTCCTTCCCCTGCCTTTCCTACCTGAGATCACTCCCTCAATAAATCACTCCAACAAATTATAATCTATTTCTTTTAGACTCTCCGGAAGCAAACAACCATCATAACCTGAAACTTGAAGCATCTGTTTCAGCCTGCTTTATAAAGTTTCTGAAACTGTAACAGGCCTCTGCAAAATTTTTAACCAGTGTGCAAACTTTTGGGAGTTCTTACACACATTTCAACCCCAGAAAGATAATAAAGAAAAACACCACAAATATCAGTAGCTAAACTGTATTGATGGTTTGTTTCAAAGTAGCATTTTGTCCTTTGGAAATTTTAAAGATTAAACAGAGAATTTTATTGGTTATAGTTTATTCAAATTATTACTTGCCATAATTTGATATATAGTAAGAAAATAGCGCATTCTTTAGAAATTCTTTCACAGTTCTAAAGCCTTGATTAATAACCTAACTACTCTGGGACCTTCAACAGAGTTCTTTTATCTTGAGAGTGCCAAGTCCAAGAATCCTAGGAATTTTAAAGCCTGATCTGTTCACTGGATGATTACTCACCAGTTGTGTGACTTTGAGCAAGTCACTCTACCTTTCTGAGTTTGTTTCCTCATCTGTGATATGAGAGAGCTTTACAAATTTGCATAAAAGATCTCTTCTTGTTCTAGTATTTATGATTTTTTCTAAATATATTGTTCTTGTATATTAAAGCCCTCAAAGTATTCATAGCCAGGAATTCCACCTATGGGAACTTATCCTAAGGAAATGATCAGAGAATAGGTAACAGATTTAGTCACTGCTGTGTTATTTATAAAAACAAAAAGTTGGAAGCAGCCTAAATACCTGTAAAAAGAATTTTATTTAAAAAATCCATACAATGGGATATTAGTCATGAAAAAGTCATGTTTATAATGAACATTAACTAAAAAGTTTAACAAAAACCACAGGATCATCTCAATAGATGCAGAAAAAGCATTTGACAAAATTCAATACCACTTCATGATAAAAACATTCAACAAACTAGGAATAGAAGGAAAACTTCCTCGACTTGACAAAGGGCACCTACAAAAACCCATAGCTAACAACATACTTAATGCTGAAACAGAATGCTTCCTTCTAAGATTGGGAACAGACAAGGATGTCCACTCTCTCCATTTCTATTCAACATTGTACTGGAGGTTGTAGCCAGGGCATTAGCCAAGAAAAATAAATAAAAGACATCCAGATTGGAAAAGAAGAGGTAAAACTGCTGCTATTCATAGATAACATGATCTTGTACATAGAAACTCTTAAGGAATCTACAAAAAAACTATTAGAACTAATAAACATGTTCAACAAGTTTCCAGGATTATATTATTGATATACAAAAATCAATTGTATTTCTATACACCAGCAATGAACAATCGGAAAATAAAAATGAGAAAAATATTCCATTTGCAACAGCATCAAGAATAACAAAATTTGAGAAAACATTGTTGAAGGAAATTAAAGAAGACCTAAATAAGTTGAAAGACATCCCACATTCATTGATCAAAAGACTTAATATTGTTAAGATGTCATTACTACCCAAAGCGATCTTCAGATTCAGCACAATTCCTATCAAAAATCCCAGCTGCTTTTTGCAGAAATTGGCTAGCTGATCTTATAATTCATATGAAAATGCAAGTGACCCAGAATAGCCAAAACAATCTAGAAAAAGAAGAATGAAACTGGAAGACTCATACTTCCCAATTTCAAGACATACTACAAAGTTACAGTATTCGAGACAGTGTGGTACTGGCATAAGGATAAATCTAGATCAATGGAATAGAATTGAGAATCCAGAAATAAACCCTCACATTTATGGTCAATTGATTTCCTACAAGACTGCCAACATAATTCAATGGGGAAAGAAAGTCTTTGCAACAAATGGTGCTGAGACAACTGTACATCCACAGCAAAAGAATGAAATTGGACCCCTACCTCACATCATATGTAAAATTAACTCAAAACAGATTGTAAATCTAAATGTAAGTGTTAAAACTACAAAAATTCTAGACAAAAACATATGAGTAAATTTTCATGACCTTGGATTAGGCAACAGTTTCTTAGAAATGACACCAAAAACACAAGGAACAAAAGAAAAAATAGATAAGTTGGATATCATCAAAATTTAAAACTTCCGTGCTTCCAGACACCGTTAAGAAAGTGAAAAAGCAACCCAGAGATTGCGAGAAAATATTTGCAATTCATATATCTGACAGGAGACTTACAACCAGAATATATAAAGAACTTTTACAACTCAACAATAAAAAGACAAGTAACCCAATTAAAAAATGGGCAAAAGATTTGAATAGACTAAACATTTCTCCAAAGAAGATATACAAATGGCTAATAAGCATATGAAAAGATACTCAACATCATTAGTCATTAGGGAAATGCAAATCAAAACCACAATGAGATACCACTTCACACCCACTAGGATGGCTATAATAAAAAAGATACAGCAAATTGGAACTCTCATCCGTTGCTGGGAATGGAAAATGGTGCAGCCACTTTGAAAAAGTTGACAGTTCCTCAACAAGTCAAACACAGAGTTACCATATGACCCAGGTATTCCACTCCTAGGTATATACCTAGGTATATACTCCTAGGTATAATAGAATTGAAAATTTTTGCACAAACAAAAATTTGTACACAAATGTTCATAGCATCATTATTTAAAATAGCCAGAAAGTAGAAACAACCCAAATGTCCATCAACCAAGGAATAAACAAAATGTGGTATATCCATACAGTCGAATATTATTCAGTAATAAAAAGGAATTTGTGTATGTAACATGATGCATGTTTCAACATGGTTGAACCTTGAAAACATTATGCTCAGTGAAAGAAGCTAGTCACAAAGACCAAATACTGTTTGATTCCACTTATATGAAACATCCATAACAGGCAAATCCACAGACAGAAAGTAGATTAGTGGCTGCTAGGAGCTAGGGGCATGGGTGGAGGGTGGGTGGAGGGCAAGAAATGGGAAGTGACTACTAATAGGTTTGCGCTTTCTTTTTGGGGTGATGAAAATGTTCTAAAATTAGATAGTAGTGATGAATGCACAACTTTGTGAACATAGTAAGAACCAGTGAATTGTATACTTCAAAAAGAAGAAGTTTATGGTATGCAAATAATATCTCAATAAAGCTATTCTAGAAAGACTTAAAGGAAACTGCTTATATTACAATATTAAATGGAAAGGCCATGATATATGATTACAGTTGAGTTTATACTGAATATATATTGGAAAATGTGTAGAAAAAAATGGAAGCATATATACCAAAATATCAATAGTAGCTTGCCTCTGGATAATTATGAACTCAACCCCGCTCCCTTTTCCTAAATATATTTTTCTCCACTTTCCAAACCATAGCAGCCAACCTTGTTTGTATCAGGCCAGCATTCCTTCCTTGGCAGCATCTATGATCTTACCCCAGGCTCTGCTTCAAGGGAACCCAACCCAAGACACATGGCACGTGTATCACTTCCTAGTTATAAAGCACTTCCACATTCAACATAGTATTTCATTTTCCAACCCCGTGAGGTCAACATTATTAGTCCCATTTTATAGATAAAGGATTGAGGCTCAGGTAAGTTAAATGAATGCTAGTGATGGGTCCAGCCCATGCAAATTCATGCACAGAAAACAAATTCCATGATGATGTCTTATTTAGAGGGGCTTCATCGAAAACTGGGGCAGTGGAAAGAGCAGACCAGGAGGCTCAGGGCCCCTGGGTCTGGCCTAGCAGCTCACAGAACTTTCCTGTCCCCTCAAGCTCCTAATCTATGAAGTGAGGGGTCAGAGCAGAACAAGCTCACTGCTATCTTCCAGCTCCAATGGCTGCCAAGTTCCCAGCTATCTTAGAAAGCATGTTCTGGTTTGTTCCAAATGCATCTCTCTAAATACAACCCCTAACGATGGCTTTTCTGTGACGAGGCTGCCCCACCACAAAATACTACTACATGAGCAGTGGAGTCTGGAAAAAAGGAGCCAGCTGAGTGAGAATCAGGAATTTCAAGCAATCTCAGAGAATGATGCAATGACTTACAGCAAGGACTTACAGCAAGGAAAAAAAAGATAATTTCATAGAAAAATTGGGATGACGAGTTTCCAAGTACTTTCAGAGTACTAAGTAATTAAAAATTTACTGTGTTTTTATAAAGGTAAAAAATGATAGTTGCAGGGCTGGCCTGGTGGCATAGTGGTTAAGTCTGCATGCTCTGCTTCGGTGGCCCCGGCTTCGCAGGTTTGGATCCCAGGCATGAACCTACACCACTCATCAAGCCCTGCTATAGCAGCATCCCATATACAAAATAGAGGAAGATGGGCACAGATGTCAGCTCAGGGCCAGTCTTCCTCACACACACACAAAATGATGGCTGGACGACTCCTGAGATAGATTCCTAGAGCATCAGTCCACACTCACTGTCAGGAAATGTGGCGCTTCAGCCTGGGTTTCCTAGAAAGCCCTTCTTGCCCATGCCAGTGCCCTGACTGTCATTAAAACACCCACAGAAACTCTATTTCTCAAGGTCTCCTTCTGTTTCTTATTTTAGGGACAACTCAGGCTTCCAGTGATTTCAGCAAAGACGTGAGTAATATTTTCTCTTAGGCAGACATGTGGTGAACGTGAAAACTTACCTCATCATCATCCATTATATTTTCCTTAGCAAAGTCATACAGCTCTTTCTGAAGTGTTGTCACGTTAAAGAACTGAACTGCTTCCTGTTCAGACACAAACAGAGAACAGTTTATATGACCAGTCGTTTCATGTTGGAACTGGAGGGGGTGGGGAACCGGGTATGGGATTTCTTTTGGAGGTGATGAAAATGTTTAAAATTAGATAGTGGCAACGGTTGTACAACTCTGTGAATATAGTAAAAGCACTGAATTGTGCATTTTAAAAGCATGAAATTTATTGTATATGAATTATATCTCAATTTGAAAAAAAAAGAGTAGCCAACCTCGAGTAAATGAGAGAAAGAGTGTGTGTGAGTGTGTGTGCACGTGTGTGTGTGTTACCAGGGGAGTTAAGTGTAAAGAAAGATGTACATATGGCAAACCAGGACAGCATATAGAAATCTCAATGAAAATACACGTTAAGGGCAAAGATCAGTTAAAAAAAATCTCTTTAGAGGAATATATAATCCATGGAGTTCCCTGACAACTCACGTAAAGCTGAGTTTGTCCATCAAGGGAATTAAATGATGGTCCATCCATAAACGAGCCTGCCATGGAATTGTTAAAAAAAAATAATAAAGTAGGTGTATGGTGTGACATGGAAAATGTTCATGATGAATTAGAAAGACAAAGCAAGTTTCAAAACAGTACGTAAAGTATGATCCTGTTTTCATAAAAATAAATATATGCTGTATATATGAGTAAATGTATAGCTATAAGGCAGTATGAGAAAGAGAAAGTACAGGCTTATGAGGGAATTTCACTTTCTAAGTAAAATATTTCTGTCATGTTTCATATCTGTAGAGTTTTTACTGATTTAGAAATCAGAATAAAGCAGTAAAAAGTTAAAAGACAAAAAAATCTATAGAAAACAATGAGTTTCCCTTCATTTCTGAAATAACCCTTTCCCTTCAGGCGCCAAGCAGTCTCCTGAAAGTGAGAAGGAAGAGGAGGAAAGAAAACATAATGCCTGGCGCACTGGCACGTACTGGCCTGGGCTGGAAATGCTCGTCCGTGAGGCCCCACTTGTCCTTGTGGTACTGATAATACACCAGGTTCTGCTGCATGACTTTGTCGTTGTGGTCAAAGAGCAGGTAGCTGACCGCACAGGGGGCCGCGTTCTTCAGGTCATTCACTGGGGTCAGGGAGAAAAGAGGAACAGGAAATCAGTGAATGATACCCTGCAATTCCTCTCACCAGCCACCCGCCTTGAAGTGCAGCTTCCTAAAGGAAAAGGTCATGCACACGCCCCTTCCCTGCAGCCCTTCCTTCAGAAAGCCTGCGACCGACCAGAATCCTCCCTGGGTGCGGGGCTCACAGACTGGGTCTCCGTGGCAGCCTGGAGGCCAGTTTTGAAACATGGAAGTTTCTAGTTAGGCAGATGCCTTTGCAGAAATGCCTACAACACACTACCTTAGGCTCCGGTGACCTGAGCTGGTCTCACATCCCTGGAGCCTGAGAAGGCTGGGTTCTAAAGCCTGGGCTATCATGGGGCTGAGGGAGCTGGGAGGATGTGCTCAGCAAATGAGCCCCCCATTGGGGGCCCACAGTGCCTGGGTCCCATCCAGGTGGGACCACAATCCCCAGATCCAGGCAGGCCCTCCTACAGCTAAACCAAACCTAGAAAACCCAAAGGATGGTGGACCCTCCGGGCTGGAAAAGATCTGAAAAGTCACCTGGTCCTGTCATCTCCTGGAGGTGGGGTTCCCACCTCCAGCCTCCCTCCTTAGAGTTGCCCCACCTACAACAGCATCTTCAGCATAGGGTTTTTACAGGGGGCGAAGTGGTGAGATACAAGCCCCTGGGTATTTATTCTGTCACATTCTACTCCACTTTACAACCCAGGAACACTACCTTTGCTATAGCTCTGATTGGCCAGAGTAACCAAAGCTTCAGTATGAATAAATTCTGCCACCCAGTGGCTGTTTCCTGTAACGACAACTTTAAAACCAGCACTTAACGGGGAATTATTATTCACAAGGCCTGCCAGGCTGGGAAAGGGTTCAAGTGGAAATAACACCACCTGCCCTCAAGAAATTTAGTGTAGTAGGTAATCTAGAAAGAGTTCAAAACAGGGCAGACTTTCAGGAAGCCAATTTCAGAAAGTAAATTTTACTAATACTGTTTACCTATAACCCAGAAAGCAAAAATTTCCTAGGGAACAGCAGGAAAATCTAGAAGTTTTGGTTCACCAGTGTTCCTAAGTCTTTGCCACAGTTTCCGATATGCGGGGCGACTTTCAGAGCACGTGAGGATTCCAGAAGATCAGTGAGCTGCCAGAGCCTGGGTGTATCTGGAACACTGCTAAACGCCTTGTTGTGTACACAGAACCAAGCCCCGCTCAGAGGGCTGGAAGACCTGACAGATTCCTCCTCGTGTTTCAAAGTCCAACACGGAGGTATGTCAGTGACGTGCCAGCACAGATTTTCATGAAACCGGAATAAAAGCACTAGCCTACGTTTTCATCCACCAGAAAATCTTTAAACTGTGAACCCAAGATTAGCAAAGTGTTGATAAAAGTTGAAGCTGGGTGCTGGGCACGCTACAGTTCATTATCCCATCCTCTCTACTCTAATGCATATTTTAAAATTTCCAGAGTAAATTTTTTTTAAAAAACACATATATAATTTTTCATAATTCTCATTAAAACAGGGCTCTTCCAAGTATGGATGAATATAAGCAAACAGATAACACTGGGGTGGGGGTAGGGGAGGTGGGGGAGATGGGAATGGATGGTTTGCTCTGGATGTTTCTCTGTACATCTCTGAGATGTTTGGTTTGCCGCAAGAAGCCTGTACTACAAGCCTTTTTGAAAGAAAGCACTAATCAGTCACTTATATTAAAAAATAGAGCTCTTCATTAGCAAAAACACTACCTAGTAGAAACTGTTCCCTCAACACTAGAATGCAGTCAACAAATATTTCCTGGGGACCTACTACGAGCTCAGTGCTGTCTCACATGAAAGCATGTTCATAGATTATAGAGAACAAGGCTCTTGTCCTTCATGCTAAATCATCCTTTACCAACAGCTGGTGCCAGGGTTACAGTGGCAAATAAGACCTCATCCCTGCCCTCCGTGCAAGGGGACTTCTGGGAAGGACATCTGTTTAAGACACACCTCGCCCTCCCATTAATCCTGGAAAGGTCCCAGCCAAGGGAAGCAAAGCTTTTCATTGCATCCTCAGATGAGGTTCAGGCTGAGAGAAGTGAGTCACCTTATTCGGGAAGACCTGGTGGAAATGACTGCTTCAGAGGAACAATCTTGATTCGAAGCAAAAATTAAATATATCATATGAATATAAATATAAATAGATACATACATATATATGCTTTCTTTTTTCCTTTTTTAACCTTCAGAAGGCAAGGCTTTCACTGCCTCCTGAAGAGGACAGGAGGTGGGATAAAAAGGTAAGTAGCTGTTGGGCACAGGGAACCCAACAGAGAATAAAATGGCCGTAGCAAGGAGGGAGGGCTATGGAAGCCAAGGTCACCTGTTACTCTTCCCAGGACATCCCTGAATCCCCGGGACCAGCTGCTCCTGAGTTTGAAGGGTGGCCTAGGGGAATCTACCAGACCCCTGCCACAGGACCCAGGCATTTCATCAGTAGGGCAGAGTAGCTCCTGCTGCAACTGTCCCTAATAATCCTCCTGTGCTTGTAACTCCCGTCCCTAATAACCACCAAGGCACACGCTGCTCAAACAAGTGGCACTCAGTTACAGGGAGAGGAGGAAAAGCCAAAAAAAAACAGGCTCTGAAGTCTGAACTCTGAACTATTTCCTCTCTTGTATTCGTTTCCCTTTGTCCAGTTTGGAATGTTCTGATTGATAAACTTCATTTTCAGGCCGAGGGAGGACCAACTGGAATGAAACCCTAATAGTCTGAAAAATAAGGCTGACGACAGGGAGGAAAGGAAATAATGATAAAAAGAACAAACATTTATATAGAATTTGCTCTGTGCCAATGTGTGAACACAGTAAGCATTCCATCTCCATCAACTCACTTAGTCCTCATGACAATCTCATGAGGTTAGTACTATTATCTCCACTTTACAGATGAGGAAACTGAGACACAGAGAAGTCAGTAAGTGATGAAGCTGGAATTTGATCCAGGCAGTCTGGCTCCAGGGTCTGTGTCCTGAATCATCAGGTCATGCTGCCTTTTCATGCAACGCACAGCACGAGGGCTGTCAACTCAACCTTGATATATTCTCTTAACAACCATAGGAAAGGGTTGTTACCCCCGTTTTACAGATGGGGAAGCTGAGTCTCAGAAGGATTAAGTACCTTGCCCAGGATCTTGCGGAAGATAATTACTTACACTTATAATAAGCAAACTGCAAATAATGATACATGGTAGCCACAAATTTCTCCACTGGATAGCCTCCTATAACTGGGGTGAGGTTCTCTTCACACTGTATTTTGCATTCCAGAACTTCTACATAATGATCTGAAAGAACACACACAAATTTTCAGAGTAGTGCATTCATTACCTTTTTAATACCACTTGTGCCCCACCCCCCAAATGATAAAGGTAAAAATGATAAATGATGAAGGTAAAATATTTACAATACTTATGATAAAGGGTTAAAATCTTTAGTATATAAAGTTCCTTAAAATCAATAAGAAAAAGACAAACACCCAATATAAAAATGGCTAAAGGATGTTAACAGAAAAGAAATGATAAAGATGGCTAATAAACATTGTGAAAAGATGCTAAACCTCATTTGTAATTAAGATATACAATCCCACCTAAAATAATTTAAACTGTTAAACTGGCAAAATTTTAAAAATTTGATAATACTCAGTGTTAGGGAGAGAATGGTGAGACTTACACTCTCATATTCTGTTGGTAGAAGCAAAACAGGAACAAATTTTTTGGAGAGCGATTTGGCAAAATTTATCAAAGATGAAAATACACATATCCTCTGACTCAGCAGTCTACTTCTGGGAAATTTTCTTTAGACAGAGGCATATATAAGCACTGTTTGTAACAGGAAACAAATTTGGAAATAACCTAAATGCCAATCAATAGGATGGTGATTAATAAATTATGGTATATACAAACAATAGAATCTACACAGCCTTTAAAAGAGAATAGGTGGACCTAAATATAATAACAAGAAAGATGTCAAAGACTACATTTCCCAGCCTCCCTTGCACTTGGGTGGGGGCCATATGACTAGTTATGCCAATGAGATGTGGATTGCAGCAACTAATGAATGCTACTTCTGGGCCTGGTCCCTAAAAACCTCCCAGTGATCCTTGGCCCCCTCCCTTTTCTCCCTTCATGCAGCTAGAAGCAAAAGACTCCAGGATGATGGTATACATTTTGTTGGCAAGACTGTGGAAGAATAGGCACTCTCATACATTGCTGATAGGAATACAAAATGGTAACTTAAAATACTAAGTAATTTACAGAAACATTTACTCTTTGAACTATCAATCCCACTTATGTTGACTTTGAAAGCACACCTCTATACTCAGAAAAAAAAAAAAGCCTAAAATTTCCCATTGCAGTATTACACGTAAGAGCAAAAGACTGGAACAACCCAAAAGTCCATCAGATAGTTGAATAAACCGTAGTACGTCACTCCCCCGAACCCCTCAATGGAGGACTCGGCAGCAATAAAGAAGAATAACACAATCTCTGTGTACTACTTAGGATATAGTGTTAAGTGGAAAAAGCAAAGAACAGAACAGTGTATAAAGTATGGTACTTATTCTGTATGAAAGAAGCAGATATAAAAATAGGTGGAAAATAGATCTGTATATACACAAACTTTATAGAAAAAAATGATTAAAAAAAGAGATTTGGGCAAGAATCCTCAATAGATGCTAAATCAGTAGAGCAGGGGTGAGGAGACACAGAGTTTGATGCACAGCAAGTTATAGCTCTCCACAAATTATTTAGTAATCTCAAAAGTAGTAATTATATTGTGGAGAAACTAGAAACCGGAAAGAACCTTAACCAAATGCTTAAAAATTAACATCACCAATAAGGGGCAAACAGACACCATGCACATCGGGATGTGATACCCTGAGAAGGACACTTCTGTAATGTTCCAGCCAAAAATGCAGTCTGAATGTAACTGTAAGGACACGTCATAGAAACTCAAAATGAAGAATAGTCTATAAGTGATTGGCCCTTATTCTTCAAAAATATGAATGGCATAAAAAGACAAAGAAAGGCCAAGGAACCATTCCAGATTAAAAAACACTAAAGAAACAAATAAACAGGAAACATGATCCTGGACTGGATATTGTACCAGGAAAAAAAAGTTGCTAGAAAGGACACTATTGGTACGATTGACAAAATTGGAATATGGACTGTAGACTGGATAAAAATGTTGTATCAATATTAAATTGCCTGAATTTAATAACTATACTGTGGATATGTAAAGATTATTACTGTTCTTAGGAAATATACTGAAGTATTATGGGGTAGAGGGTCATGATGTATGCAACCTACTCTCAAATAATTCTGAAATAAAAATAATTATACACACAAAGGGAGAGAGTGATAAAGTAAACATGGCACAATCAATGTTAAATATTGGTGAATCTGGGTAAGGAGTGTATGCAAGTTCTTTGTACTGTTCTTGAAACTTTTCTATAGGTTTGAAATTATGTACAAATAAAAACTAAAAAAATCCCTAAATATCTATCTATCTATAAAGAGATAGAGATACAGATATAGATATATATCTTAGGTATATCAAAGAAGGAGTTACCTTTGCTTATTTTTGTCAAAAAGAAAAAAAAAAATTTTAGAAGTATAAGCCAGAAGCTAATAAAAATGGTTACCTTTGGAGATGAGTAAAATGCGTAGAAGAGATATGGATGGAAGCAAGATCTCCTTCTAGCTGCCTGCAACTCCTTCCTCCCCTTCAGCCTAGGAGATAACAACCCGCTACAAGCAGCCCCGGGGTACTGTATTGTCCCTGGGGTTCCCCTTCACCCACACGTCTGTAAATAACCCCTTCGTAAATAAATCCTTCTTGAACTACCCTGACGAATGTGTGCCATCTATTTCCGGTCAGGACCCTGACATACAGAAGAAGACATTTTTCACAGTATACCCTTTTGTGTCTCACATTTCATACTATGTGCATATATTACCTTTTCAAAAATAAAAGTTTGAGATTAAGTGTAATGTACCCCATGAAGTGGGACACTATTTGATTGGAGTTAAGAGGTAAGTCTCTGCAGTCAAAACACCTGGGTTCATACCCCAGCCCTTCCCCTGAGGACAATGAGCACAGTACTTAATCTCTCTGTGCCTCAGCTTTCCCAGCTGTAAAATGAGAGAATGCTAGCACCTTCCTCACAGGGTTGCAAAATTGAGATAACACACATAAAGAACATAGAAAGGGGCCTGGCATCTAGTTAGAGCTTAATAAATGTTACCTTTTCTAATAACTATTTTTTATCTGTAGTCAAAACACTGCAGCTCCAAGTAAGCACCCTTTTTGCACCCCAACCACTATTCTGAGTATAAAGAGTACTTCCTGACACTCTAGGCATGAAGGGAGGCTGGAAGGAATGACCCCTCACCAGCAGAAGAACACTGCTTAACAGATGCTCTGTGAGGTCCAGGTGGGAGAACCAGCAGCTGCCAACATCACAAAGAGAGAGACAACCAGACATTCTGAGCCTCCTAATAGGAAAACTCAGCACCAACTAGGAAGTGGTCTTGTCCCCCAACCCCCACCAAAAGAAAAAAACCTGGGCCTGATCAAGCCTCTACATCCAATAACCAATGTATAAGAAGTACAGAAGACAGAGGACCACAGGGATACCATCAGCAAAATCCAGATCGTGGGAATCTCTATAGGGCAAACGATCCAGTTTTTTCAAAAGCAAGTAAGAAAAAAAGATATGGAGGAGGGATCTATAGATTAAAAGAGATTTAGGGCCCATCCCGTGGCTTAGCGGTTAAGTGTGCGCGCTCCACTGCTGGCAGCCTGGGTTCGGATCTTGGGCGTGCACCGCTTCTCCAGCCGTGCTGAGGCCACGTCCCACATACAGCAACTACAAGGATGTGCAACTATGACGTACAACTATCTACTGGGGCTTTGGAGAAAAACAAGGAGGAGGATTGGCAATAGATGTTAGCTCAGAGCCGGTCTTCCTCAGCAAAAAGAGGAGGATTGGCATGGATGTTAGCTCAGGGCT